GAAGAAACTGTCTTGTCATAAACTATCGGCAGCTCATGTTAAAGCTAGTGACATTTTATGCCTTGCTAAAAAAGAAACAATTGAATGTCTGAATGTTAAAACACAAGAAAAACAATACGTTACAACTTGTCGCATATTTAGGACAGCTTATCAAATAGCGAAAGTGAACCATCCCGTGACAGATTTAGCAGCTTTGAGTGATTTACAAGAACTAAATGGTTTAGCTATGGGGCGTATCTTGCAGTGTAATCATGCATGCACTGATATTTGTGATCATATAGCAGATGAAACGAGAAAGAAATGTGTTAAATATATTATTAATAATGATCTTAAGATAGGTTTCATGATCGATGAGACTTCTACTCGAAGTAAAAAAGAAGCTCTTGTAATCTGTTTACGTTGCAAACTGCCTGATTCCATGGATGCGAGTAGTTATTTTTTTGATATAGTGGAATTAGAAAATACCACAGCTGCAACGATCAGGGACGCCTTTCTCAACAGTATCAAGATTAATGGATTTCACAGTGACTTTATCACGAAATTGGATTTCATTTGCTTGTGATGGGGCCTCTAATTTACTTGGAAGGCATGCAGGTGTTGCACAACTTTTGCTCCAAATGTATCCTCAATTGATTGTTTGGCATTGTAGTAATTATCGATTAGAAATAGTGGTGAATGATACAGTATGGGAAATATCAACAGTGTGCCACATGCAATCATTTTTTGATAAACTATTCTGTTTACAGCACGTCTCCAAAGAACAAATCTGAATTAGAAACTGTTGCTGTGCAACTGAGTATGAGATTAAATACCATAGGACGAGTGTTAGGAACAACACATTGGGTATCGTCTAGTGCGCGGTCTGTGAGAGCCATATGGAATAATTACCCTGCTCTTTATAAGCATTTTCACAATGCGTCTGTAGACCCAAAACGCACGGGAAGGGAGAGAGCTCAATATTCTGGATTGAAAAGAAAAGTAAGCGACGTAAACTTTGTTTTAAATATGGGACTTCTGTTCGATGCTTTAACAGAACTTGAACACCTGTCTTTAAAATTACAAGAAAAGAAAATCACATTGCCTGAAGCACATCATTTAGTTCTTGTTAAGTATCACGTCTTTCAGTCCGTGGCAAATAATCCAGGTGAATATTATTCTGAAGTTCTAACGGCTGCTGAGTAATTAGAATTTAAAGGAGTTAGCTTAGAACATGAAAAAGTGCAGAAGATTAGTGAACAACAATTCTTTCAGAAATTAAGTGACAATATAAACACCTGAATGTTCACCACTAGAGCTTCACACGAATCCACTGGAAGTAGTAACACAACATGGTCAAACAGGGACAAATACAGTCAGTTACTGCACAACTTGAAAATAATGGATAAGGCTAAGTGGGTAAAATGTCAAGATCCATGTTTTGCTGATAAAGAGATTAGGGAACTCGCTGAGTCATTTATGGTGTGTAAGAAAACTTCAGTTCATGGATTCCATGAATATAATGAATGGTGACGACATGTATCCTGATGAACTAAAGCCGTTGATTGCAGCTGCAAATACTATTATTATTTCAACTGCAGAGTGTGAGCATGCATTCAGCAACATGAACAACATTATTTCAACCATCCGAAGCTTGATGCTTTTAAAAACAGAATCTAGTTTAATGTTTATTTCATCAGTGGGACCCCCTCTTAGTGCTTTCGATGCACAATATTATGTAAAACAATGGCTAAAGAAAGGACGTCGACATGCAGATTACCAGTCTTGTGCAGCCCCCGGAGATAGAAGATCAGTGACTTCAGAAAGCAATGAAAACATCTGGAAAATATTCTAAAGATAAGTACTCGTAATGCATGTGTGACTTTATTTTAACACATGCCATTTAAACTACTGTAATATGTTCGTAGGTCTTAGATGGAACACAGACTATATACATCACTCGGTATATTTTCATAATTTATGTCTATGAATTAAAAGGGGAAAACCATCCCAGTTCTATTTTCATTCCACCTCAAGCACTATATATATATATATATGTCTAGGTTGTAACACTATAATTTAGAGAAGGCCTAATGTTTTGTGGGAACATATTCGCTCCAACTTT